TACAGTGAAGTCTTTGTGAGGAGGTATCCGGGAAGCACAGCTCTGGATTAGCTTGAGGCCCAAGGAGTAGGAGATTTGCCAGGGCAGGTGGTTGCAAAAAAGAAATAGGTACGGTGCCAGTTCCTGAAGCCTCCACCATGAAGATCTAACCTAACTGAATGGAACTTCAACCCAGGGTTCCTGTGTCTGGCAAACTTATGAATGGACACCATGTGCTGAAGACATAAGAGGCCTCAAAGTGCTTGGTTATGTACTGGGGAGGGGGTAACGTGGATGTATATGCAACCTTGCTAGGAGGGCTAGGAGGGGAGGCATGTTCTGCTCAGTTGGGAATCAAGTAATTTCCCCTCCCAGGACAAGTCTTTCTGTATCTCCTAAAGAATACCTCTACTTCTTTGTTTTTTCTTTTTGGGTCATACACAGTTATGCTCAGAAGTTACTCCTGGCTCATGAACTCAGAAATTACTCCTGATGGTGCGTAGGAGACCACATGGGATGTTGGAGATTGAACCCAGATCGGTCTTGTGCAAGGCAAACACCCTAACTGCTATACTATTGTCTGGCCCTGAGAACACCTCTACTTAGAAATTTCTGACCTCCAGGAAGGTTCCTACATTTCTTTCTTGTAGTCACTGAGGCATTCAATCAACAAACATATAAGTAGTTCTTTCTAAATGCCAGGTACCTTTTTAGGAGCTGCAACATACAGAAATGAGCAAAATAGACCAGGACTCCTGCTTTCATGACTTTACAATCTATTTTTTTGTTGTTGTTTTTGGCCACACCTGGCAGTTCTCATAGATCATGCCTGATAGGGCTTAGGGGAACATATGGGATTTTGGCTTTGTCCAACCAGGCTTGGTTGGGTGCAAGGCAATTAACTTACCTGCTTTACTGTTGCTCCAGTGTGGACTTGGCATTGTAGTAGAGAACTCCAACAGGAAGCAGGTCATTAAATCCATATATATTATTATATCAAGTAGTGGCAAGTGCTATGATGATGATGTTCATGAAGGGCAATGTAAGAGAGAGAAGGGGAGAATGGGAGGACTTACAATGGTCTCTGAGAGGGAACACTGGAGCTGATTTAAGTACAACAAAGAAGTCAGCCATACCTTCCAGATGGGGAAAAAAGTTCTAGACTTCTGGAATAGTCAAAGCAAAGATTCCAGGTCAAAATGACTGGACTGCAGAAATATGTTGGAGGAAGAGTTATAGGATTTGCCATTGGATTAGCTATTGCTTATGACAAAAAGACAGTAATTATTGACTCTTTAATTTTTGCTGAGCATCTGCTTCATGTCATTTCCTGTGGTGAGAAAAATGGATAGGGGAGTGAATGTGAGGGAAAGTAAGAGTTTCATATGCACTGTTAAGTGGAGTTATTGATTAGGCAGCAGGTTATGGGAATATGGAATTAAGGAAAGAGGTCTGTTGTAAAGATAAGAAATTTTGGAGTCCAGGGAGTACTGAAGGCATTTAAAATCTGAATGTGGTTTTAGGAGCTACATCTAGGATGTGGTAGCTGCTAGCTCCAAGCGATGAATACTTGAAATGCATTTAGTTCAAAATGAGAACGTGTAAATTCCACACCAGATTTTGAAGGTTTAGAATGAAGATGAAAGAAAACAATCTCATTAATAATGTTTTTATGATAATTATCTGTTGAAATGATAATGTTATTTCTCTTGAATTAAATAAAAATAGATTAATAAAAGGAACTTCACCTTGGACTTTCTTCTTTTATTCCCAGAGATTACAGAGCATATATGGCACACAAATTTTGACTACTGCTGATATTTTACTTTAATGGCACAGGAAATTCTTGTACATAAAAAGAATGGGCAAGGACAGAGTCTTTGAGTGCTACAACATTTCAAATTTAGGGAGCTGAGAAAAACTGAGCAAAGTTCATTGAAAATGACTAGCCAATGAGGTAGGAGAACGAAAAGGAGGGCAGTGGGATGATCAGAAAGTGGGCGATAAAATTGTACCCAGTAGAGGGAGTGGATGACTGTGTCAGATGATGCTAGAAGGTCTAACAACTCCCTGTTGGATGTAACAACAGTAGTTTTGTTGGTGTGCTTCGGAGGCAGTTCAGTTTGGAAGCACTTTTGGTCAGAGCTCCACTAGATGCCGAGACCGAAAGACAGTAAGTAGAAATCTCTCTTTGGAGTTTTGCTTTCTTTAAAGAGGAGCAAAGGCATGCGGGGTAGGATGGTAACAGGACAAGGATTTCAAATCCAGGGGATGTTTTTGTGTTTTCATGGTGGTTGTGGTCTTGTTTGTGTTAAGCAGATTTCTCAACAGAGGTTGGTGATATCTTTGAGGCTATTTAGATTCAGTTGGATAAAGGGATGCAAGAATGCCATAAAGAGTTTGATTCAGTCTAAACTCAAGAGAAAGTTTGATAAAATGATGTATAAGTGTTTCAGGGATGCAGATGACACTCTGTATTCTCTTTCTTTGTCCTGACTTGGCCTTCATATTTGTTCCTCTTTGATGCTTATATTTTTTCTTTTTGTATCACTCTTGGAACTGTTTGAGGATCCAGGGATGAAGCTCCATGTTTGGTGCATGCAAGGCAAGCACTGTACCCTACTATTTTTTCAGCCTTGTTTCCCTTTCTTCTATCCCTGACAGTGGTGGATCAGTGGAAAGTGTTGCCTACTGCTTTATGGAACATTGGAAAATAGCTCCTTCTCTCAGTTTCTCCAAATATAAAAGGCAGCTTATTTACCCAGAGTCTAAAATGTCTTCCTTAGTTTCAGGGTTGGAGACACAGCCATGTTTTTTAAAGATGTCCCAGGAAATCACCAGCAATGTGAATTTCTCTTGAGCACATAGATTTTTCTAGTCTCCCTTCAAATTTCTGGGTTTTGATTTTTTTCTATTTTCTTGCTCCTTCCAGATATGGGTTCTTTAGGGTATAAGTCAACTTCAGATATTGTTGTGATTACAGGCTCATAGAGTTTGAGTAATTTGAACAGAATATCAACATCTTTCAGCTAACCCCACAAGAAACACATCTATAATTGGCCAAGTGGGTTTATTGTTTATTTGCAGTTAGAAACAACTTAACTCATGGGGAACCTATTTAATGACATCTTGACACAAAGACCCTGAAAGGTCTCATTATCATCTTTTCCTTTCCAAGGTCACAGTCAATCCTCTTGGGTGACCTCCTATGTGCTCCTCAACATCAGAGCCTTGAGGTTCTACCTTGAGATATGTGTGAGGGACATAGAGGGAGGCAATATGTCCTAAGAGGCCTGGAGTCCATTTTTGAAGCAATGGCTACTTGACTATGCCTGACAGTAAAGCAGATCTGGAGCACGGGCCTCTAGAACTGATTTAGCACAATTTGATTTACTTCTACTTCAGTCACATCTAAACTTCAAGGGGAGCTATTACACAGGGAGTCTCAGTGCAGCACTCCTGCTGGGTACAAAGATCATTCCTTTTCTCTGGATTATGGTGCTCATTAGATCCCTTCCTTCCCTGCTACACATAAACTTCCATCAAATGTGTCACACTGTTTTATAATGGTTAATTATCAATTGACATGTATTCCCAGACCTGTTATTGTTTTGTTTTTTTGGATGAGAAATTTACAGTTGAGTCGAATTAATTATATGTTCTAATGGAACAGAACAGAAAAAAAGCTAAAGTTCTTATAGATATATAGTAGCTAGACTGAATGAGAAATTTACAGTTGAATATCATTAATTATATGTTCTAATGAAAAAGAATAGAAAAATAACTAAATTTCTTATCACATAGCATCAGAGTCATCTGAGAACTATTCTTTGGGTGTTCACCTTGGCTGTTTCTTATTTGAAACAATATGTAAAACATTCTTGCTTGTATATTTTTGTGTACAAGTGAGATCATATCTATGTGGTAAAATTCAAGAAGTGATGCTACTGGATCAAAAGGTAAAATAAATTTACTTTAAATTTATAAATTTAATTTTAAATTTAAGGTAATTTCAATGTAAATTTATACATTTTTTGATACTAAAATATTCCTTCTTGATGTGTTTTAATTGGGTTTTGTTTTGGGGGCAACACTGTAACACTTGGGGACCATAGGCAGTTCTAGAGGATTCAAACCAGGCTGGCCACATTCTAGGCTAACAGCTTAATCCCTGTATTATCTTTCCAGTTGTTACAAATTGTACTTGAGAAAGAAATTTGCGCTCCACAGTAAGAGATAGTGTCTATTTTTTTCTATCCTTATCAGCAACGTAAAGTCATCAAAATGAAAATTTTTTTTCACAATCCAATAGTTGAAAATGTTAGCTTGGTATTTTGACTTATATTTCTTCAATTATAAATGAGGCTAACATTTTTTATGTAATTGTACGTGATTATTAGTTAGTTTTACTAGCTAATATTATTAGCTAGTTTATCATCTTTAATTAATTTATATATACTTTTGAAGAAATGAGAAAATTGCTCCCTAAAAATCTCTTGCAAGTATTTCCTGGTTTGATTTTCTTCTATTGATTTTTTTGCCAAAACTATGAAATTTTAATGGAGTAAAATATCTCAAGATTTTCTGGTACATATCTGGATGTTTATGAAGAAAATTTTGTCTACTGATGAATACCCATCAATAGTAACACCCTCCAAAATGATTGATTCCCAACACAAAGCAATAGATAAGGGTTTTTACAGTTATTCATTGAAAACAGATTTTTGAGATGTAATTCACATCCAATACAATTTATCTATCTAATGTATACAAGGAAAGAAATCAAGGGGAGCATAAGAAGAGGAGGAAGAGATTTAGCAGGGGAAGGTTCATGAGTTGTGGGTACATTGGTGGTATAGACATGTGGTATATATATGTGTGTGCATATATATATATAAATGCATAGCCAAAGATGCTATAAACAAGCATTTTCTGTGTAGGTACAATGATTATGTTGCATGCTGGGTGCCAAATATCAATATTTTGCATTTTACTCAATATTTTATTTTAGTGATCCCGTGATGGCAGAAGTACCAAGTGAAATTTCTATGAACATAGAAGCTATGGAGGCCAGTGATGAGGGTAAGTAACCTGATCCAATATTAATAACTGAGAAAAAACTTAATGACCAGAACTCTATATGTTTATTGTAGGTGTTACTTAACACCTAGGAAAAAGAATCAGGTCCCAAGAAAACATATTCATAACAAATATCTACTAACATTAGACTTTGTCCACATTTATTTTCCAGGAGTTTTGGGGGAGGGGCACACTTGGCAGTATCCAGGGTTTATTCCTGCCTCTCCGATCAGGAATTATTCCTGGTGGTGTTTGGGGGAGCATTTGAGATGCCAAGGATGGATCCAGAACCGGCCGTGTGCAATTCAAGCAAACTACCAGCTGTACTATCTCTCTGGCCCCTATTTTTCAGCTTCCTAACCCCCTATCTTTTATCTCTGACTTTGACATTTCACGGTCTTATCTGAGATTTTGCCATCTTCTTTGAAGATGGTCTCAGATTTTGTTTTCTAAGACAGGATTTTGTATTACTTGGGAGAAAATATGAGAGAACACCATACTCTGAGAGATTCAACTGAGGTTTTACTATAGGTAGTAATCCGGATTTAATCAACTAATAATTCTGTCAGTTGAGAAGCAAAGTGGGGAGGTAGCTAGAAATAAAAGATACCACCTTTAACTTATGTTATAAAGGATTCACTTTACAAAAATTTCCTTTTTGCAATGCTTACTGATGTATTCAATTGCCTAAACTTTGATATCACCCATGCATGTAAGTAACCACCCAAGCACTGAAGAGAGAAGACCAAGTACCACGAATAGATTACCTCTCAGTATAGCCCCCAAAATAGTTTTTAAAAGAAAGTAAAGAAAAGAGGGGATGGAGAAACTGTACAGTGAGTAGGGTCCTTACCTTACATGTGATCGGCCTGTGTTAGATACCCAGCATTGCATATGCCCATCCGGAATGATCTCTGAGCCAGGAGAAAGCTCTGAGTACCCCGAGTACCATTAAGTGTGGTCCACATCTCCATACAAAAACAAAGGAAAAAGAAAAGAAAAGAAACATATATTCTTTCTAAGCAACACTGCAGTAGAACAAGGTCACCATTATGAGTTTTAAGGTTCCCTAAGTTCAACTTCAGTGAACTGCCTGTGCCAATGGTAGATAAGGAAATATGAGGCCTACAAAGCAATAATTTCTTCATTGGATTTAGGAGTGTTTTGTTATTTGGGGCTGGGAGACTGAATTTTCTGGCATATGACATACCTTATTGGATGAGACTGTGAAAGGATACTGGCTGTTTGAGAAAGCATAGTCCCCAGGCTTGGACAGGGATATCAATGGCTGTCCAATGGTTAGTCATGTGCAATGGTTAGCTACATGCACAACAAGCTCCCTGTCTGTTATACTATTGCTCCAGTCTCTCCATTATGATTTCAGATGAGATTGGGCATTGCTATAGACTCCATTAAGATTGCAAAAGTTTCATATAAGATTTTTTCCTTTTAAAAGTTTTTAATTATGTTTGTAAGAAGTTTGTAAGTCTGTAATTGCATCTCACAGTGATTCATTAAAATAAATAAATTAATTAAACGTTTTTAATTTACTTTTGAGTGAATGTTTGTTTATTAAAGTCTATATGATTAAGTCCATAATGTTTACTTCTTCAAAATGTATTACTATACTATACATATCAAAGTACGAAAAATAGTTCAAAAGTTTTATAGCTAGTAGAGCATACCCAACTTGGAGTCTCATGCCTAGGGCTTATTCCCATACAGAGGGTCAGTCAGTATAGTTAGAGACAGGGAGGTCTTCTAATCCAGAGTAGGCTAAGGACGAAACACTTATAGGTGACATTGGACCCCTGGCAACTGGTTGTTTGGTAAGGCCATTCCCCACTTTTAAGTGACTTCCATAGATTAATGAGCAGCCAACCCACTATGTGTTCCATCTCTGGGTGACTTCCCTGTCCCCACCGAAAGAGCTATACCACTACTATAGTTGGAGTTTCCCCAACAGGGATGGATGCAAGTTTTCTTTTCATTCTATTGTCCATGGTGGAAACAGACACAAACTAGATTTATGATCTTCATGGGAAAACTATATGCAGTCTCAATTTTTTAGCACCTGCTATAGATGCAGTTTTATCATAGAAAATTCCAACATTTTTATGGAAAATATAAATAAGGGATCTTGAGCAAACGTCCATATTTATTTTCATGAATATTTTGCTTTTGGGGGAGTGTTGAGTGAGGGGGAGCACATCTGGTTGCGCTCAGGACTTACTCCTGGTTCTGTGCTCAGGGATCAATTCTAGTGGTGCTTGGTGGACCATATGGAGGTACCAGGGATAGAACAATGGTCAGCAGCTTGCAAGACAAATGCTTTACCTGCTGCATAATCCCACCTGCCCCTATTCCAATTTTTTATGTTTCTGAAATCAGCAGAATCTAGGGATGTGAAATGTAATTTTATTTTTTATTTTTAAATTTAAGTTTCTATTATATGGAAGTAAGACTGCATTTATAACATCTAAGTTTTGAGTATGTATTATTAAAAATCAACAAATGTACAGTCTATATTAAGTGCCCCACTTGAAGTTCACTTCTAGTAATTTTAATTTTTTCCTTTGCAGTTCCAGAAACTGAACCCAGAACCTCAGTCATACAGGGTAGGTTTTGAGGAAAAACAGATCTCTAAGCTTTGTCTGATTTCAACAATTAAACTATATATCCTTTTCATGCAAGACAACTATGAGCTACTTTGGAAAATGCTGATTTTTGTGATTCCTCTCATCTTCCATCTGTATCCCAGAGAGGCTGAATGAATTATCCAAGGTTATGGAAGTAACTGATACCAGAAACAGAGTTTTATTCTGACTCTGGTAGTACTTTCCAACACCATACTAAGACTCTAATGATAGCCCCTTTGTTCACAACCTTGGCTTGCCCTTCAACGACAGTGCAGGATTGCTATGCAAGCCAGGGGGCTTCTAGAGACTAACTATTGGCAACTGGACCAGGACACTGGAGTTGATAAATTATAGAATGCAAAGAAGTCACTGTCCTCCCGTTGTTCATGGATTTGTTTGAGCGGGCCCAGTAACATTGTGAGACTTGTTACTGTGTTTGGCATATATAATAGGTCACAGGTAGCTTTCCAGGCTTTGCCATGTGGGTGAGGTACTCTCGGTAGTATGCCAGGCTCTCTGAGAGGGGCAGAGGAATCGAACTCAGGTCGACCGGGTCGGCCTTGTGCAAGGCAAAGACCCTACCTGCTGTGCTATCGCTCCAGCCCATGCTAAGAAGTAGGAACTTTTATTTCCCCCTTCTTAGACTGTAACCAAAAAAACCCTTCCATTTTCCTCTCTTCTATTGAGTCAAATTAGAGCTTTATGTACTTATTTGGAAACAAAAGACAACCTAAACAATGCCCAAAGAGTACTTGGAATGTACATTGGCACTGCTGCCTGAGGGATTTTATAGACAAGCAAAACTTAGATTAGCTACATATACAGATTTCAGCAGCCCTGTAGCTAGCACTGTAGCACTATCTTCCCGTTGTTCATCTATTTGCTTGAGTGAGCACCAGTAACATCTTCATTGTGAGACTAGTTGTTACTGTTTTTGGCATATCAGATACGTATGGGGAGCTTGCCAGGTTCTGCCATGTGGGTGGGATACTCTCAGTAGCTTTCCCAGCTCTCCGAGAGGGACTGAGGAATCGAACCCTGGTCAGTTGCCTGCAAGGCAAATGCCCTACTCACTGTGGTATTGCTCCAGCCCCCTGTGGCTAACCCAAAGAAAAATCATTGAAGAACACACACCATGTAATTACACACAATCAAATTTATTTATTTATTTTATTTTTATAAAGTTGTTCACAATAATTTTGTTACATTTAATATTCAAACACCAATCCCACCAACATTGCACTTTCCCACCACCATATTTCAAAACTTTCCACAACAAATCCCAAACTGTGCTCCCCAAAATAGAATGGAAACAATTACTTTTGTATTGCTTGTCATAAATAATCTACTAAAAATGGTCCTATAAAGTCTTCTTAGAGGAAAGTGTGTGAAGATTGTTGTATTTCATCCTGGAGCCATTAAGCCCTTCTTTAAGAGATTACTAATATGTACAGACACATTTTGAATACGCTCTGGCATCTGATTTTTGTCATGTCCTATCATAAGCTTATTGGCCTGACACCCCTTCTTTTCAATTCTCAGTCCTATCTCTTGTTCATAAATTACTTCCTTGAACAAGTTGATTCTGGCTACTCCACCCTCCCACACTCATTCCTTGGGTCTGTAAAACTTCAGTGTAATTGTTACCCCACATGGATTTCCAGGGGTCCTGAAGTGGTTTTTATATGGGAAAATTTTACCCTTCATCTGGATTATGATGACTTCTGCCACTAGAGTGGAGGGGGCAGGCAGAGGATCAGCTGTTTCTGTTGACCCAATAACCATGGCACTAGAATGATCATCTTTGTGTCAGGAGGGAGGCATAGATTAACAGCTGACATTGAGAGGCCAATGGACATTGAGAGGGCTGCCACTCTGTACTGGACATTCAGAGACCCTTTGTTACTGAACTATTGCTATTGTTAGAGTAGAACAAGCCAAATGGTCTTGTTGGCACTGGGGACAAGGGTTGATATATGGTAGGTCCACAGGTTCCTTATTTCTATCCCCAACGTTCTGGTTCCTATCCTATCTACCTTTTAACCATGACACCAGACCTTACTTTTTGGTCTCATCTCCAGGAAAGAAGAAATCCAAATTTAAAGTCTTAAAGAGCTTCTTTGTTAAGAAGAAGAAAAAAGACTCTGAAGAGAATCCTTCTCAACGAGGGAGGAGGCTACAATCTAGCCTGTCCAGCAGCAACATCAGCATCTCATGCCTGAAGGCAGCTGAGGAAGGTTCGCCAAATGAACCTAGGTAAGTCAGTTTGGAATGGAATATGGTTGAGGCCAAGAACAGGCAAATAAATCTTGGTGTCTCTTTGGCAACCAAATCACCAGTATTCTTTGATACTAGGACTCTTGAAGTCCTTGCTATGGGAGTTGGATCCACAGTCATTGCCAAAGCAACCATGTTCAGGGACCTTTTCCCTGTGTTCCTATGTTTGCTAGTTAACACTGCATAGTTTGGGGGTTTGGAGCCTGGCAGATGTACACTTCATTCCCCAGTGGTGGTGCAAATAGGTATGGAAAACTTTCCTGTCATAGTGGAAAAACTTGAGATGTAAATCTTTTCACCTGGGAGGAACTGGGGGAGGGTCTCTGATTTCGAAGGTCAAGATGGCTTACTCTCTTTTGGGATATTGGTCAGCTTAGCTAGCAATGCAAAATCATAAGCCTTTCATATCATGTTAGTCAGAGACCTAGGTACACATAACTGTTGCATTCGGAGATGGTCGTTCCGTTGAGAGCGAATGGGGCATCAGGAATGAGGCTGTTTCTCATAAACATTGTCTTCGTAAGATTCAGCTGTAGTCCTACCTTTCCACACTCACGGTCAAAGTTGGCCAGCATTTGTGCCGCTTGGCTGATGTTTGGTGTTATTAAAACAATGTCATCAGCAAAGCGGAGGTGGTGTAGTTGTCATAACTATAGATATTCACTTTTATTTTTAAACTTGATTTTCAATGATTAGTTTAAAAAATTATAGTTTAAGTAACATGGTTACAATTGTGTTAACATGTATGATATTGAGGGACAAATTAACTTCACTTCATCAGCACCAAAGAGCTCAAGACCCCCAAATAATGTCCCTATGTCATCTCCATTCTCATGGCTCCTCTGATCATTCATTTTTAGTCCCAATTAATACTGGCCCTACTACAACACCAGAAGTGGGATGGAGAGTGGAATTTAAAATCACTCAGTTGTTTATATAAGCTGGCAAGGGCTATCTCTAAAGTTCTACCTCTACCTGTCTTACTTGTCCCCTCGCCTCTGAAATGATCCATTTGTTGGGTTCTATTAACCGTGCTAGGAAGTGTTTGTGCATGCACACTTGAAGTTGTGGCGAGGAAGAGGGAAAGCATAACTACTTCCACTGGGGCAAGAGTTCTTTTATGTGGTAGGTGGACTCCCAAGATATGCTCAGGGGGCAATCCTCAGCTTGTATTGTGAGTCTAACATCTTGGTATTTAGGCAGGGACTAGACTCAGAGTCTAGAATATACAAGTTCTGTGTTCCAGATCTGTGTGCTAGCTCCCTACCTGGAGAAGAATGCTTTTCTAAGAATGTAAATTTTGTGTTTTTATTTTAATCCAGTGAATAAATTAATTTGAGCATGACTTAGAAGACCTGGAGATCACCTCTGACCCACGTTTCTTGTTTAATGTGATAAAGGAGAAACCCTAGAGAATGTCATTCAGGAATGGGAAGGGAGAACAGCTGGGTTTTTCATCATCAAAGCAATCATGCATAAAATTTTACAGCTAGCCCTTTGATCAATCTAATAGAACCATTGTCTATTTCTAAGGCTATATCTGGTAGAACAGCTGAATTTGATTCCTCATTTTGTGATATGCTGTGTTGCCTTTAATTAAGGCCAAGACTTGGGTGGTAATTTTAAATGTATTTTATGTCTTTTGCCCCTAGTAAACTGATAGATAAGCACAATATAGATTTAGTGATCAGGAGCTTTGGTGTCCAAATCGGGCTACAGGCAGTACAAATGAAATATTTTGATCAAGGATGTCTTGACTCTAGAGAGTCACTTCAATAGCTGTTCTCTGGATGATACATAGCCTGAAAGTGATAATTTCCATCCCTCTTGTAGCCTGAGAATATCTTGAAGTTAGGTAAGGCACAAAGCAGGTAAGGCTAAGCATTCACAGATGGGTACCCAGATTAATCTCAGTCAGTAGGCTGGAAAGAAGCAATGAATGAAAGTGTATATGAGTGCATGCATTAACATGTATGTTTAGAGATGTTTAGAAACTGCTTTCTTAATGCTGCTTCACTCATATATGCCCCTTCAAGCGCTTATTTTGACCAGAGTTTTCCGGACTTATTTGGCCTACTGCCCCTTTTGAAGGGGAAAAATATTACCCAGCAATATTGAACTGGGTATTGTTTAAGTTGAAGTAACAGATATCCCCCCCCCATCACACACTCACACACACAAACACAAACACACACAATTGCCCTTGAGACTATTACCACTCCCCTTGATGATATTCTACCAGTGCGTCCCTAGGGTGCAGTATTGCTCACATTAGGAAACATTGAATTGTAGATTCCTGTTACATTTCTTCTGAACTACTATGTAGCACTATAGCACTGTCATCCCATTGTTCATCGACTTGCTCGAGCGGGCACCAGTAATGTCTCCATTGTGAGACTTGTTGTTATTGTTTTGTCATATTGAGTACATCACAGGTAGCTTGCCAGACTTTGCCATGTGGGCAGGATACTCTCAGTAGCTTGCTGAGCTCTCCGAGAGGGATGGAGGAATTGAATTCGGGTCGGCCATGTTGGCTGAGTGCAAGGCAGATGCCTTACCTGCCGTACAATCACTCCAGCCCATATATATATATATATATATATATATTATTTTTAATTCAATCACCGTGAGATATAGGTACAAAGCTTTAATGATCGAGTTTCACTCATACAATGTTCCAACACCCATCCCTCTACCAGTGTAATTTCCCACCACTAATATTCCCCATATCCCTCCTCTTGTGCCCCAGTCTTCCTCTATGCAGACAGTTTTCTTCTTCTCCTTCTCCTTCTCCTTCTCCTTCTCCTTCTCCTTCTCCTTCTCCTTCTCCTTCTCCTTCTCCTTCTCCTTCTCCTCCTCCTTCTCCTCCTCCTCCTCCTCCTCCTCCCCCTCCTCCTCCTCCTCCTCTTCCTTCTCCTCATTCTCATCCTCCTTCTTCTCTCTCTCTGTCTCTCTGTCACTCTAGGCATTATGGTTTGGAATACAGATGATGAGAGGCCATCTTGTTTTAATAAAATAGTAGAGCATGTTGTCACCGAAAGGCTCACCTGACTGTTTGAGTCTTACTGGGGAAAGGTGGGTTAGAAATGAATATAGCATGGTTGACATTTGCCTCCTCATCTCCTATCATGGCCTTTTAGGTATGGGTATCATTTTAATCTGCATAGCACCAGATATCCCACTAGGGTCATCACGTGGTTTCAAAGTATTATACAACCTCACTGATCTTTGTTCTTAACTATTTTTGTTTGTAGTCAGTTCATTGGGCATGAGAGTGGTATCTCATTAAGGTCTTGATTTGCATTTCCCTATTGACTAATGATGTTGAGCATCTTTTCCTATGTTGTCATTTGTTTATCTTCTTTGGAGGAATGTCTATTGAGATTCTTGGACCAATATTTTCTTTTTATTAATTTTGTTTACTTAAAATAGTTGTTTAGATAAGATGGCTTGATAGTGTTTAACTTTATGAGGTTGAGGTACAAAATTACTTCATGCTTCCACCACCTAAGAGTCCATATATCCTCTACCCTTTCTCACTTCCAGTCCAACAATTCTTCCATCCAACCCACAGTGATGGTTTTGGTGTATACTGTTACCTCCATAACACCATCCATGTGCTCCAGACCTGCATGTTATTCTCATGTAACTTACTGGAAACCTATTTGTTTCTTTAATCCCTTTCTGCCAATCCTGACACTGTCAAGTCTGTATTCCAGTAACCAAGGTTTATTGTTGATTCATATTGTCCATGCCATTAAGATGTTTCTCTACGTAGCACAGATTAGTAAAATCATCTTTTGTCGGTTTGCCTCTGGCCAATTTCACTCAGTCTGATACCCTTCAGTTCCATGCAAGTTGTTAAAAACTACATGACTTAATTTTTTCTTGTGGCTCTGTAGTTTCCCACTGTGTATATGTAGTACAACTTTTATATCCATTCATATATTTTGAACATAGCTTGTCTTTGCCTAATTTATATTGAGTTACTTATCATTGAGCTAATTTTTGTATTATATTCAAGGGTTCAATTTCATTCTCTTTCACGTGGCTATTCACTGGTCCCAGCAAATTTACTGAAAAATAAAAACAATATTCTGAACCTCCATTTGCTGATATTGGTACTCTTGTTACAAATCAATTAAATATGAATAGATTTATTGTTGGGGTTTCAATTTTGTTTTATTGGTCTATATGTCTAAGCTTGTGTTTGTACCATGCTGTTTTGGTTACTATGACTTTATTGTACTTTGGAAATTAGCTCATGTCAGTCCTGTGACTTTTCTCTCTTTCCTAGATTCTTTCAGTTATTTGTTATCCCTTGCATTTTATGATCGATATAAAATCAAATTGTCCACTTTTTTTTTGGTGATGGCCACACCCCACAGTTCTGGGTATCTTTTCTGAAGCAGTACTCAGAGACCATTTCCAATGGGTTTTGGGGATCATGAAGTGTCAGATTGAATCCAACGCTCTCACAAACAAAAGTGCCCTCTAGCCCTTTATGCTTGGCATAACTTGCCATTTTGATAAAATTTTTAAATGGCACCTAGAACTTCAATAAAATGTCAATAAATACATAGAACAACTTGTAGAACAGAATTATTTTCTTGACAAACTTAATATTACAAGCCATAAAGTTGTCTTTCTGTTATTTTAGATCTTTTTTAATTTTTTGTGTTTTATAGTTTTGAATACAAGTTTCATATTCCTTTTGTTAAACTTATTCCAAAATATTTAATTTTTTTGATACTATTGTAAATAGGGGCTGGAGCAATAGCACAATGGGTAGGGCGTTTGCCTTGCAAGCAGCCAACATGGCCGACCCGAGTTCGATTCCTCTGCCCCTCTCTGAGAGCCCGGCAAGCTACTGAGAGTATCTCGCCCTCACGTCAAAGCCTGGCAAGCTACCCATGACGTATTTGATATGCCAAACACAGTAACAATTGTCACAATGGAGACGTTACTGGGCCCGCTCGAGCAAATCAATGAACAAGAGGATAGTGACAGTGATTGTAAATAGAATTATTTTTATTTTTAATTTTGTTTTCAAGTTATTTATAGAAATATAATCTTTTTCTGGCCCTCCCAAGCAGTGCTCATATGATAAAGTACCACTTCCAGCAATACTCAGTGAACCGAATTTGATGGGATCCAAGTATGCAGTGTTTTTTGGCTCTCTTATGCCACTGACCACAAGGGTCACACTTACCAGTGCTCAAGAAGCTATATAGTTTTGGCATCAAACAGGGGTTCTGTTCATAAAAAAACATGCACCCCACCCCCCTAAGATTTCCCCAGTCCTAGAATGGCATTGTTTGTTTTTTGGCTATACCTGGTCTTTAGAAGCTACTCTATACTTGGCAGTCTGGAAACCAGGCAGTACCAGGAATCAAATCTGGGATTTCTGCATGTAATGCTTGTGCTTCTGTTATTTGAGCTATCTCCAACCTTCATATAATAGTATTTTTTTTTTTTACTTTTGGACCACACACTGAAGTGCTCAGGTCTCACTCCTGGATCTTTGCTCAGACATTACTCTTGAAGGTGCTCAGGGGATCCTTTTTAGTGCGAGGGATCAAAATGGAGTTGGCTGCATGTAAGGCAAGTGCTTTACTTCTTGTAGTATCTCTCTAACCCCTAGAATTAATTTTATGTATTGATCATGTACTCCTGAAATCTTATCTAAATTTATCTGATATTTTAATGATATTTGAAAATATTTTATGCCTAATATCATGAAATTGTAATTAGAGATCATTTCAAATTTACCCATCAAATAATGATGGCTTTTACTTCATTTTCTTACCTAGTTTCCTTGGCTAGAACCCTTTGGAACAATATTTTAATAGATGTAGTGTGAGCAGATACTTTTCTTCATTAGATGAAGAAAAAATCAGTCTTTTGTCATTAAATTATGATTTGCTCGAGTGGGCTGGAGCGATAGTACAGCGGGTAGGGTGTCTGCCTTGCACGCAGCCAAAATGGCCGACCCGAGTTCGATTCCTCTGCCCCTCTCGGAGAGCCCGGCAAGCTACCGAGAGTATTCGATATGCCAGACACAGTAACAACAAAGTCTCCAATGGAGACGTTACTGGGCCCACTCGAGAAAATTATGATATTGACCCTGAGTTTCTCAGATAGTCTCAAAGTTTAGTGTATTCACATTGAAAGAGCACTCAATTTTACAAACATTATTTATGCATCTATTGGAATAAGCATATGGGTTTTGTTTGTATTCTGTTGAAACCATGTATTATGGTAAGTGATTTTCATATATTCTAGCAATCTTCCATTCCTGGAAAATCCAACTTGGAGCCTTGAATTGGTTATACCTTATTTCGGGGGTTTTCACCTATATTCATAGAGATATTGGCCTCTAGTTTTCTGTTCCTCTGATGTCTTTTATTACAGTTTCTCACATCTTAAGAGGACCTTTTGTGCCTTTAGCCTCTCCTCTGTTTTTAACCTTACCCTTCTTTGTCTTAAGACATCATTATCAACAAACTAACTTCAATACAAATCGGAAGATTTTAGCAATTATGGGAGAAGCAGGTGGTGCTTCCTCATTAAGAAATATATATGCAAGGCAGAACTCTTGTGTAAAGGGGAAGACCTAGTGAATGAAAATATACAGCATTGGGCAGACATTGTTTATTTTAAAACAAAAGAAAATAAAACCACTGCAGAGAACCTTATATATGAAAAAAATTGTATAACTCTCAGGGACTTCTCTTGCCATTCTGCAGTGTTGTCAGTATTGAACTGAACACTGAATAGTCAAATTTAATAATATGTAAGCCATGTCTCCATAAATAACATAAAATATGTGTGATGATCATTTTAAACATCAACATTATACAGAAATACATAAAGTAGAAAAGGCCCATAAAGTAGAAAGCAAAAAATTCTCCCCTGTATTAGTGCTATTTCTCAGAGGTTGGCAGATATCCTTCTAGACTTTTCTATGGCCAGAATGTCCATAGGTTATGTAATTTGTGTTTATATAAAATGAGTTTGTTTCCGTTGTTTATTTTTTCACTTAATGTCTTGTGAATAACTTTCTGTGCCAGCACATTTACATTCTTTCCTTCTGGGGAGTCTTCACTGGGTAGTAGTATGCATATCCATTTCTTTTTAGCTCTTATGTCCTACTTCTATAAGATCTTTTCCTTCTTATTCAGGGTGAAAACAACCTTGGGGAGCAAAGCTCTGTCCCATGACAGCATCTTTATGTTGGATCCTGAGCTTGAAAGATCAACAAATATAAAGTACTCCACTCCGGAGACACAAAAAGGCATACCTCAGCAGGTAATAGTGAAATTGAACATCAGCACACAATCAAATTAGTCCTTTTTCATTATTTAGTCCTACTCACCAAAGAGGATAAATTTCACCCTGCTTTTCAACTTAAACTTCACAGGATGATACTAAAAATTAAATGAGAGAATGTAGAAATACATGGTATGCTCATCTTGGGCCTGACACAGTATTGGATGATATTACCATATTTATTCTGTTTTTAATGAACAGTAATTCCTACCCTCATGGTTTTTATCTTCCACAGAAAGCTCATACTTCCAGAACTTTGCCTAGAATTGGAACTGTTGTTATGCATGGAGCTGACTATGAAGCTATGCCCTGCTATGCACCCAGAAGTGGAGTCCGGCGTCCAGGCTCTCCGATCCCTGAGGTAAGTGGCTTGGCAGCTGATCACAAACACACAACACACAACACAGCTAATGACAAACACACAAATCACATACAAACGACACACTAAACACAATAATCACACACAAATCACAAACATAGGGCTTGAATTATTTTAAATCAGAACAACTATATGTAATTCTTTTACTGCTACTTATTTTCTCTGTGACTTAAGAATGATTGCTTAACATTTCTGAGCCTTTCTTTACTCAATTTTTTTTCATCATTTCATCATCCTGTTAATCGTCGATTGCCTCGAGCAGGCCCCAGTAACGTCTCTTTCATCCTAGCCCTGAGATTATATTCAGGGCTCTTTAGGAGAATGAGACCCATCATTGTTACTGGTATTTGGCATTTATACTCAATTTAAGGGGGTATAATATTTATATCTACTCCAAAATCTTGTGATTGTTGAATAAAAGTCTCAGAAAAGCTAAAGAAATGATACAAGGGCCAACAATATAGCTTAATGCTAGAGCACATGATTCACATGAATAAGGTTCTGGATATATCCATGCCACCTTATTCTACCCTAGACCCTTTAAAAAGAAATTGCTCAAATTCACCCGGATAGTAAATGTATCTGATGTGGATATGTTGACCTCCAAATCCATAATCTTTTAATAACCTCAGTCTCTTCAACTGAGTTCAAACTTTATATTTACTTCAGAAGTATAGTCTTCTAAAAGTAAACACAGCATGTACACAAGATAGTCATGTTCCTTCAGCTAATCCTAACCATTGCTTGGTAAGACTATTCTAGAGCTCAAATCTAGAAATGTTTCTGGTCATGCTGGAGCTGTAACTAGAAAGACACAGTTTTTTCTTCTATCTGAAAGTAGAATGTTTATATTTAGTGTGATTTGGTAGGTTATTCTGGGCATCTGGAATCTTAATTTTTTCCTCTATAAATTAATGGTAATAGGGACAAAGGCTTAAAAAAGTGGTAGAAGGTTCTAATGAAATTCATCTATGGAGAGCACTACCTGGCACAGGTTAAGCTATCTAACTAATGAGTTACTTACCATTATTGTAGTCAATATTATTAAAATTGTGTTTGGTGATAATTGAGCCTCGGGTTTTTTTTTGTCTAGACCCTTCAGCATGGCATAGTTGTAGGATAACATTGGTCTGCCCTTCCTCCCTGACTGCAGCGAGCCTGGGATTGTTGATTGCTCACTCAACCTGTCAATTACCTTTGCCTCTTGATCAGACTCTGTTGGCTTATAAATATTGTTTTTCTCTTCTCCTTAAGTCCTTTGTATAGTTAATTCAGAACAATGTTCTTTTTTATAGACACAGGAAGACAGCTAATGCTATGCTGTTGTAACTTGGGAGTTAATTGACTCCAAATGATATCTGGCCATCTGTTCTCTCTACTTAAACTTCAGTTGCCCTTACTTCCTAGCACCCCAAAAATAGGGTCCCAACAAGGAACTGGATGGAACGAGGGCAAGCAGTGAGTTACTCTGGCATCGAAATGGGCCTGGCCACAGTGCTATAATACTTAACTATAAGTTAAGAACATGGTCATGGACAAATTCTGTCATTATCCAAAAAGTACTTACTGGATTAGGACCCTGCTAGGGTTAGGAATGATTAATCTGGCATGAACACTGTAGTCTGAGATCTATAATGAGATGTTCTCAGGAGAGCCACTCTACAAGCTTAATGTATCTCTTGCTGTTGTCCATACAATATAACTAATATTAAGAGGTAGATTTAAGATGTTAATTAAGATGTTAATTAAGTTATTGGACTAAGGTGAGGAGAAACACCCCTATGTGGTATTTCCCTTCCTTGAACCTGATCAGTGATTAGGAAGGTCTTTTGGTATGTTGAATGTGCTACCAGTGGGGATGTGGTGTCTACTGCAATGCAGGAAGTTGGAGAGAGACTAGAGAGAGACCCATGCAGCAAAATGGAGCATGGAGAGACTAGCAAGGGGAACAAAGGGAGAAGAATTTAGGGGAAGAATGAAGGAGCAGGCTTGTGGAGAGATGGGCTGCGAGAGGGAATGTGGAGAGATGAGTGGGAGAGACAGGAGGAGACAGGAATGAGGGGCAGTGTGAGACTAGAATGAGGAACTGGAACAGGCGCATGTGGAGAATGGAATAAATGGCAGCTGATCATCAACCAGGCTGATGGCTCTTGTTTCCTCCTTCATCCACCCATGGCATTGGCCGTCCTGGGTAGGCGAGTGCCCCCAGTCCACTGAACACAGGCGTTGAGAGAGAGCCACGCAGGGTTCCCTAGCCGCCCAGAGATTACACAAGTGATAATTGATTCTCAGGTTTTCTTGTCCAGACCCTTCAGCATGTTCATGGTAATAGTAATTAACTTCAGACCCTAGCCAGGAGTACCCCAGGGGCAACCCTCCTTGTGACTCTTTTTCTCTGAGAATTTGAAGACAACCTGTTCTTACTAGAAAGAGAGTCTATGATAAAAGCAAACATGTCAACACCATGATAGCAAGATTTTTGTTGTTGTTGGTTCCTATACAAGCAGTATCTAGAATGAGGTATACCACAATTCATATGCTTAGTCAGTATTTGTTATGATAAACTCAGGGCTTCTTATTCACATTAATGACCATGGCAAGGTCTAGTACATCAAATTCAAGTGTGTCTTGAGTTTTAAATATAATTAATCTACTGAAGCCCAAGGAAACCCCCCCCCAAATTAATCCCCCTTGCAGGGAACTGTTTAAAGTAGTTATAACACAGCTCTAGTTTTCTAAATATTTCAGAAGAGCGATATTAAAGGGTTTAAGATAAGCAACCACAGCAGTCAAAATCCAGTCTACATGATTTCTGGAATGTCAGAAGTCACCACCACAAGAACCAGACTTCCAAAGATGTCAAAATCAAAACAATGATCAGAATTCAACAGAATTTGTACTTAGTATTGTTAGTGAAATGGCAGTGGAAATCTGGTATATTTTTCAAATAAACTTTTTGTTTGGGCTGGAGCGATAGCTTAGCGGGGAGGGCATTTGCCTTGCACATGGCAGACTTGGGTTCAATTCCTCCATCCCTCTCGGAGAACCAAGCAAGCTACCGAGAGTATCCCGCTCGCATGCACGGCAGATCCTGGCAAGCTCCCCATGGCATATTCGAAATGCCAAACATGGTAACAAGTCTCACAATGGAGATGTTACTGGGCCCGCTTGAGCAAATAAATGAACAACGGAAAGACAGTGCAGTGCAGTGCTACATATTTCAACAGTCTAAATTCATGGCTCTGTGTGTGTGTAAGTTTTACTACATCTACTACCAAAATTCTAACACCATTCATACTATCAGATTGACCCTGTCCCCTTTCCCTTCAGTAACTACTATATTTTTCACACTCTGAGTTATTTTTTTTTGTGCAGCGTCTGTTTTGGCTGTTTGTATTCCTCATATAAGAAAAACCCTCAGGGAAGTACTTTTTACCAAATAAGAAATTTGAACTTTCTGCCTTTGTTTTGGGGCTGCTACATGTGTGCAGCAACCCATTGTGAGGACCAAGGCTTTTGGTCATAGTTTGACTAAGTACCAGAAATCAAGACAGGGAAGTAAATTCTTGTCCAAACTGGTCTTTTCACTTTCAGTTAGTAATTAGTTACCCTTAAGCAACATAATAGGATCAATATTTAAGGTGGAAACACACATTTTTAACTCTTTCCTTCTATCTTCCTCCTTGACAGACCCTAGTACTTCGCCCACGCCAACAAAGCACCAGCCCACCAATTATGAGGTCTCATGCAATCTCTAAGGACTTGGAATTAATCTCTATTGAGGAAGAGTCATATAAGAGCGTACTTAAAAAGACTTCACCACACAAGCTGTTGGCATTGAAAAGGGTGAGTGTTAGCAATTTCCTAGGTGTTAGGCTCAGTGGGGAAGGGCACAAATTAGCTGCATAATTTCTTTATGGGTTCTCTTTTTCTCCTGCTGTAGCTGAATTCTGGTAGGAAGAGAAAGGAGAGACCATTCTTGGTTATTGGTATGCATGTTGGTTTACATTTTCCATCCCTTTCTAAAACCAAATTATTATCACTATAATTGATAGCAATGGAAGACAATATCTCAGAAAAATTTTAGTCTGCAGATGTGTTCAATCGTTTTAGAGTTGGAACAATAGTGTTTTTTAGGAAGTCTCTATAATTTCAAATGGACAGGTCTGAGAGCCTAAGACATGTAGTATGTTTGGTTAACATACTGATATGAGAAATCACCTGACCAACGAGAAGATAGTGTCCATTCACAGACTAATGGAATTGTTTGTAATTGAATTTAAGAGGACTTTTAGAATGACCTAAGTGTTAGAACAATTAACTTTGAAATTAAACATCAATTAAAAGATCTTATATAAAAAATAAAATTGCATAGTCAGAAAAAGTTCACTTTTAATGTTAAGAGATTCTGTTGAGAGACACAGTTGTCATTTAGATATGTCTAAAACAACAGGAAAAAACAGTTTATGGTAGGATCAAAGTTCAGACATAGGTAGAGGGGCTGGAGAGATAGTACAAGGGGCAGAGTGCTTGCCTTAAATGCTGCCAACCTGAGTTTAATCTCTGGATTTCCATATGGTCCCCGAGCCCTCCAGGAGTAATTCCTGACTGCAGAGCCAGGAATTATATCTGAGCATCGCCAGATGTGGCCCAACACTTTCCTCCAAAGAATACATGGGTAGAAAAACAAATGCTTGACAATTTATGGATTTAGGTATAACTTTAAGAGTTTTTTTGTAGAATACAACTAAATCTGGTAAGTTGTTTCAATATTAATATGAGTTCTTTTTATTTGCTCAACTAATTAATTTTTTTACAGTGCCAGGGATCAAATTCTTGGCCTTATACATGACTTGGTGAAGACCACAGGCCAAATTAGAGAAATCTGGAACTCGAATCCATGCTTTCATCTCAAATTTATACAATTTTCTGTTGAATAATGCAACCTTGAACATCTTTCAAAATTTACACAACATTCAGCAATAGCAATGGCAGCTATCACTTATGAGACTTTCTATGTGAAAATCACTCTAAAAGATGCTTCATTTTCTCTTTAAAACAGCACTATAAAGTATGTATTATTATCTCCATTTCTGAGGCACTGAAATGGAAACTTTAAAGAGGTGTGGTAAAACAACCTGAGTGCCAAAGAACAGATGAATGGTTAAAGAAACTATGTTACAGCTACACAATGTAATACTGCACATCTTTTAGGAAAATAAAATTCTGAAATTCGCTCACAATTTGATGAATATGGTGAGTATCATGCTGAGTGAAATGATTCATAAAGAGAGGGACAGAAAATGCACTCATTTGTGAGATATTAAAAAAAACATAATGTGAGACTAATACTCAAGGATAGTAGAAACGAAAGTCAGGAGAATTTGTCCACGGTTGGAAGCCTGCCTCAAGTGGTGGTCAAGAAGGCAGTTGGGATAGAGAAGGGACCACTATGACAAAGATAGTTGGAAATAATCACTCTGGATAAGAACTATGTGCTGAAAATAGAACAAACATTATAGCCTCTCAGAATCTGTATAGGAAACCCTAAAAGGGGTGGGGGAGAGACAAAGAAAGAGAAGGAGGAGAGAAGGAAAGTGCCTACCATAGACAGGCTTGAGGCTGGTGGGGAGCTGGGGGGGGGGAGGCAGCAGGAAAATTTGGGACATTGGTGGTGGATTTGAAATGTGCACTGATGGAGGGATGGGTGTTGGAATATTGTATGACTGGACAAAACCATGAACAGCTTTGTAATTGCTTATCTCATGGTGATTAAGTAAAAAATCATAATAAAAAATAAAGAGGTGTGGTAACCTGTCCAAGGTGAAAGAGTCAATAAGTGTCATGTCAAAGATATTGAATTTCAGATTTTCCAAATTTCAAAGGTTAATATTTTTATCTACTAATTAAAATTTGGAGATCCTGTGAGGAGGAGGGCTTCAGAGAAATCTGAAAGAGTAGATACTCTTTCAGAGTAAGAGTGGGAGAGTACTTCTAAGAAGTCTGAAGTTAGCAAAATGGTGGCCAATAAGAGCTTTTATACAAGACTCAGAGTGAAGTATCAGCTGCACAGTAATTATCAGGCTTGGGTACATCATCTCCTTTCACACATTCACAAAATTGCAATTATAACAGTAAGGGTACAGGTGGAATATTATAGGGGGTAAGGCATTTGACTCCAGTTCAACACCCCATAAAGAGCACCACCGCGAATGTATCCTGAGCCAGAGCCAGGACTAGCCCCTGGGCACCAGTGGGTGTGCCTCCCAGCAAGAACAAAGTAATAACAGAGTAAAGTAAAATCCTTATAGCTATTAGGTTTTATACCACATGCCAAGACTTCTGTGCACAGACTTCCCATCACAAGCATTTTTGCACTTTATAGAGATGTTCCAAATACTACCTGCTTTCAAACATAAATTTAATGACTGGCAGAGAGTCACATTTCCCATAATTCCAATAACAAATCTCCCAGCTTTAGAGAGAAATTTATCCTGGGTTGATAACCTTTTGGACCAAATGGTTGTTGAAATCTGTACTCATATAGCTATAAAGTAATGCACTAATTTAAGACACAGCAGTTGGAACTTTTAATTATTCCAAGAATATTTTTTATTCTGATATCTGTCCCTGCTTAACTTTTTCTGATGAACAAAGAAAACGGAAAGACTCTACCATCATACACAAGACTAAGAAAACCTCAAAAGGATGATCAACAGTGTGAATGAATGACTACATGTTTGGATTGTGTGTAGATTCTTGGCAGAAGGTGCAAAGGGAGCTAAAATGTATTTTAATTTTTCAAATATCAGCCATTACACCAGTTGACAATAATGGATGCCTGGCAGTTCTATGAACTCGTACTATAGGATCCTTTCCCAGGGTCTATATCATAACCCATATTCTGGCCCTCATTACGTCTATCACATAGTTCATACAATGAATCAAAAGATCATTTATTATTTTTTCTATTTCTTCATTCCTTCACAGTGAGCTACACTTACAAAGCTTTCATGTTTGAGTTTAAGTCATGCAATGATAGAACAACCATCCATCCACCAGTGTACATTTTCCACCACCAATGTCCCCATTATTCCTTCACCCCCATCCGACACCTTGCCCTGCCTCTATGGCAGACAAATTCCCTTTCACTACTCTCTACTTATGGGCATTATGATTTGCAATACAGATGCTGAGAGGCTATCGAGTTTGGTCCTTTATCTATTTTCAGCACACATCTCCTATCCCAAGGGATCCCTTCAATCATCACTGACTTAGTGATCCCTTCTCTATCCCAGCTGCCTTCTCCCCCAACTCAGAAAGCAGGCTTCCAACCATAGAACAATCTTCCTATCCCTGTCTCTACTGTCCTTGGGTGTTAGTATCATATTATAATATTTTATATTACACAAATGAGAGCAGTATGTATGTCCCTTTCTTTCTGACTCATTCCACTTATTCACGATATTCTCCATAACCATCCACTTATAAGCAAATTTCAGGACTTCACAAAAGGAGGTTATTTAACTCCAGTTGTTCAAAAGAATTCGTCTAGGACAGCATCTCTCTATAGCACAAAATGAATGCAAATATCTTGATTTTCTTTCACAGTGCATGCATTGGTTCAGAGGGCATGTTGGCACTCCATGAAGTGAGAAAGAATGGGTGGAGAAAGAATGCAAAGGTGCAAAATACCAAAGGGGTCCCGGTGCTCTGTAATGCTAGTTTAGAAAGGAATAGTGAGTGAAAGCAGATATAAATTCTGACTACAAGCTAAATGACATCATTTAGTACTTATTTCCAGAAGAACTATGGCTTTTGATAAGACTGATGTGTGAAGTTTCTTAGAAAAGAGATGTATTTCCTTGAGTTGTGGGAAAAAACGCTATGCCAAGAAACTCATAGGATAATATTTTGAATCTTCTCCAGTGTAACCCAATTAGGAGCTCCAAATCCATATAGTTTGAACAGATAGAGATTAATTATCATGAAGACATGATTCCAAGATCCATTTCTGTCTCATTTTTGGTGAAAAATTCAGTTTCTCGGAGTGCTCCCATCAGCCTTTCACCAATGAATAGTAAACATGAATAAAGGATGCAAATGTTTTGCGCAAATACATCTTAAAGACAAGTCCTTATGTAATATGATTTTTACACAGTGCTCCTTTGGAAAGATTATGGTACCCTTCTATTAAGAAAAATGGGTTCCAAGACAAGAGGACGTGCACATGTCATTTATAAGAGAACCTTTAAATGCCATTAAGTGTTGGGTTCCTATGCCCAGGTCAAAGCCTCTAAATGCCTTCTAAGCAGGGAAGCAACCCAAAGTTTTGGTTTCATGTTCTACCTGCAATAGAACCATAAGAAAATAAACATCTTGCTGCAAAAGAACTTATTGACCGGAAGTATTAATATTGCTCTGGGAAAAATCTTCACGAAGAATTCTTTAGCCGGAAGAATTTCCAACATTTGAGACCATTGGCAGCATATAGGGTTGACTTGTTTGTTTTCTCCAACTTTTACCAGAAATCCTTTGAGAAACCTTCTGGATCAGTTTGCTCACATTTCTTGACCACATTTGCCATGATGAACTCTCCCAGCAGCACCCAGCCCACTAGTTTTGGCACCCCAGCCACCACCATGAGCTGTTTGGATACTTTAGCTGCTCGACACAAGATGACTTTAAATCCCAGGAAATAGAAGAAACCCTTAACACCTGAAATTCCTGAAACAAGAGACTTGGAAACCAACTCAGAAGATGAACTAAAACCTTTGCAAATTTCTCCTGAGGAAGTTGTATGTTTTGAAGGATCCATATTCCAAAGAGAGATGGTAAATTCAAGAATTCTGTCTCAGGGTTCAACAATCCCCAGAAGACAGAAAACTTGCACTCAGTTGATGGACTGTCCTATCCATGTGCTAGCTACAGAAAAGGAACTGAAGAAAACATAAATCCATACACCCTCCCTCCCCCCACAAAAAACCTAACTTGTTTCTTGACTTAGCATGTGAAAATTTACTCAGTCCACTTTGTAGAGAATGTTGAGCCATGCCCCAAGTTAGAATTCTTTTAGCTATTAATCAGATGACACCCATGAGTTACAAATCATATCACTTCTTCTGTTCATTTGGGCAGCAGGCTTCCAAAAGCCCCAAACGTTCAGAACTCAGTTCCTCTCAAAATATCTCTTGGTGCCACAGAGATGTCATAACTTTCAAGCAGGAAGAGGTAGGTTTTGGAAACCTAATTTCATTATAAAATTAGAACAGCACCAATAAATAAAAAGCATGACTAAAGACCTCGCTCAGAGATTTTGCAACAAAAAGAAGTTACCATAACATAGTCCAATGATTAGGTTCATTACTTGTACAAACCATCAAGAAAAGTGGAACTGTATTCCTTGATCTCTGATTAGGAACAAAGTGAAGAAATTAATTTGAAAAATATTTTTCTAGAAATTGTGAATTAAAATATGTTTAAGTTTAAAAGCATGTGTCAATCATCTGGAAAGGTTGCTTTAGTCCAATATCCTATTTTTTGGTGACTTTGGGCCATATGTCCTTAGGGCTCTAAATAGGAACAGGAAGCGAATTGAAGCATTCTTTGTGTAAACATTTTACAGCAAAGGGCTGGGAAGTTCCTCAAAGTTCCCCAGAGGGCAGCAGAGCTAAGGCCAGAGGTATGACTTTTAACAAAAGTCTTCTGACTTCCAGTCCAGTTCTTTTTTCTCCCCATCTTGTTGAACCAAAGATAGCATAAAGATTTCAATTTTCTTTCAGAAAGATAACAAGGCACAAATTAAAGGTAGCATTGGTAGGGCAGCAGCTCCAGGCAAGCCCTTTGGTGACCCTAAGAGGATCTCCTCCAATTGGTGTTGAGCAGAGTATGGGCTATTACTTTGCATTAAACCCTACTTATATTTGAACCTGGACATCTCATTACAAACCTGGATGATGGACAATATCATCTAAGGGGAAGTTAGTGTATGCCTCTCCTGATTTCTTGCTTTTGCATAGCAAAATTAAGAAAAGGCCTGGACAGTTCTCTTTAAGAAGGCAAGACATGACTTTCCTTGTGACTTCTTTGTTTTTCTTGCCTTTTGGGTCACACCCAGCGCTGCTCAGGGATCAGTCCTGGCTCTGCACTCAGGAATTACTCCTGACAGTGCTTGGGGGACCATATGGGATGCCGAGGATCGAACCCGGGTTGGCTGCATACAAGGCAAATGCCCTACCCGCTGTGCTATCGCTCCGGCCCCTCCTTGTGACTTCTATCTTTGACACATGAATGACTATAGAGGGGTCTAGAGATCACCTATGACAAATATACTATTGCTATTTTTCTTAGCTTTGGAATTTATTAAGTCTACCAGACTTATAGAAGCTATCCCTGTGTTCTTAAGTAGAGATGTAGAAACAGGTATTTAAGGACTGATTTGCCCATGCTCATTCATATAGAGAGTTAAGTGATGGAATAGACATTGGAACCAAAGTCTGCAGACCTCCTTCACTCAAAGTATTTTGAGTTGAGTCTATCTGAATAGGTACTTGAGCGGGAGCATGGTAAATTGTATGTTTGTCATGAAATGTATGTTCATGAAGGATCCTCCTGTTTAAGGAGGAATGCCAAATTTCATTCTCATGTTTTTTGGGGTGTTTGCCATACTCAGTGGTGCTCTCAACTTACTCTTAGCTCTGTGCTCAGGGATCACTCCTGGCCGGCTTGGGGGGACCATATTGGGTGCTGGGGATTTAACCTGGGTCAATTACAAGCACGGCAAAGACCCTACCCATTATATTATTTCTCTGGAAAGCCAAATTTCCTTTTTATTATGAAATTTCAGACATTATGCAGTGTTATCCTGACATCCTCAAAGCTGTATTGTTAATGACCTTAAAACCTTATTTATACTAATACATTTCAACTCCTTCAGTGAAAGGACCACACCCTACATCTTGTTCTCCTTTCCTTTCCCAAAACTTTAATTCTCTTCGTTCCTTTGAGCTGGAGGGGTATAAATCATACTTTCATTAAGTTTCCTAATACTTGACTTTGACTTCCTGGCCTGGCAAAGCAAATTTTGGAATTTCAGTGGTACCAAAGGCACAACTGTTGTCAAATATAATGATATCATTACCAGATGAAAGGCTAGTGTAGTTGATATTTCAATGGTATTTTAGAGAAATTCTTCTGTCACTGTCACTGTCCTCCCGTTGTTCATTGATTTGCTCAAGTGGGCCCAGTAATGTCTCCATTGGAGATTTTGTTGTTACTGTGTTTGGCATATCGAATACATCACGGGTAGCTTGCCAGTCTCTGCCATGCGGGCGAGATACTCTTGGTAGCTTGCCGGGCTCTCTGAGAGGGGCAGAGGAATCAAACTCAGGTCGGCCATGTTGGCCGCTTGTAAGGCTAACGCCCTACCACTATGCTATCGCTGCAGCCCAGAGAAATTCTTCTAAGATAAGAAATTCAAAATTTGTATGAACCCTTTTCAATAAGTAACATGTTCAGTCAGTGATACATGGATACCACTGGACATAATTTACATCTGTCGTGATATTGTATCAATCCCAGCAAGGCTATTTGGATATATGTACATATTTGTGCTATTTTGCTTTCCTTTGGAAATCTTGCAGGTGGTTCTCTAGTACATCAGTCTTATCCCAAGTTTGTTTTTTCTCTTTTAGGTGAAAAGAAAGGAGGATCCAAACTTTCAACTGTTTGCTGAAGAAGAGAAGTTTGCAACCAAATCAAGACAAGATGAGCAAAAGACAAGAGATGATGTTTATACAGGTAAGGATTGGCTTCTCTTCCTTCTCACTCAGAAACATGTACTAGGACCTTCATTTCACAATGCTATGTGACAGAAGCTGTATGTTAAAAATTTCCTGGGTCTGCCTGATGCCCTTGGTTCTCAAAGATTTCCATTTAAGATGCATTCTAATGTGTGTTTGTGGTCCTTGGTTTTCTGTCTCAAGTGCCTAACAAATATAACTGCCGTGTGTTTGTGTGTGTGTGTATGTTTCAGGTAAAGGGATCACTTTACCCTGGATTTCCTATTTTATTTAAATGATGTTTCAGTGTTAGATGTGACTTGTGATCATTTGTTTAATCCTATGAAATGGGACTGATCTATTCTCCTTGAGGCAAATATTCTGAAACTTCTCCATATAATAGGAGTGGTTTGGAATGTTGTCAGCTACCCCTAGCCCTGGATGCTGGATGTGAAACCGTTAGATGGAGTGAGGGATACAGTAGGTGATAATGAAGGAAGGAAGGACCAAGAGCAACCCCCTCACCCTCCAACCTGGAGATCAAACTAAATTCCTTACTAAATGTACTAAGAAGGAGAGGACCCATCTGGATAACTACTGCCTTTCCTTGCCCTGAAGTATAAGGACTAATTGCAATTGTAGAGCCCTTTCAAGAATTACATAGATGTATGTATTTATGTATATGCATGCATATCACACAGATTATTATTATTAATCATTTTTAGTTCTGAGGATCAAACTTAGAACCTCACACATGGAAGTCAACTGCTCTACTGATATAGAACTAATAAACATTTATTTTGTTTCATGAGAGATATTTTGGATCATGTCTATTAGTGCTTGGGGACTACTCCTTGTTCGTTTCTCGGGGTTCAATCTCAATATTGCTCAAGGGACCATATGAAGTTCCAGGAATCAACAAAAGTTGGCAGCCAGCAAGGCAAATTTCTTACCTTTTGTCCTTTCTCTCTATCTCTACATAGAATTATTCTAACCATAGACATCTGAGATTTCTATCTTTTAAATGAAATTGCTGGTGTCCATTGGGTCAATAAGATTAATCTTATTTTGAGCAAAAGTAGTTTTATATTCATTGTTTATATTTGGTACAGAATCCACCAGCCAGAAACAGAGTGACAAAGCAGAGCTTTGTGAAAAGAAGACCACAGAACAAGATTCTGCTGTAATTCCAGACTACCCATTGTCTGACCCCATTGAACAAGTGCATGGAAGAAATGACTCAAGTGCTTCTGGAACAAGTGAGAGTGAATCAACAGGAAGAAGATTTCAACAGTCCAGTCTAGGATTTGATATCAGTGATGAAACTAGGTCCCCACCTCCTGATAAGTGTTCTAGTGACATGCTTTGGCATATGTTCATGGAGAAGTCAAGCCTGAGTCCACCTACCACTGTACCATCTGAGGTCATTACTCCTCAAGAGTTGGTCTCAGATAAAGATCATATGGGAGGGCAAAAATATATTCCAGATTTAGAATCCACAAAAGCATCAGCACCACTAATTATGTCTGAAGATGTAAAGGAGTCTATGATTCAAAGCTCACCTTCCTACTTTGGAGATAATAATTCTGTAATTGAGAAAACAACAGAAGAAACCAGAGAGTCTCTTTTGTCGATGATAGACAGCCTATCTGCCAAGCAAGAAGATGTTGCTGTCCCCATGGCAATGGAGAAACAAGTATCTGAGGAGACTTCTCATTTCCCCTCAGAAGATGTAACTGCTTCCAGCATTGATTTCCCGAGTATCCATTTTAAAATGGAATCAGTTCAAGATCTTCCATCTCTCTTCAAAGAAAAACCTACTGGGAGCCTTTGCCAGGCCTTTCAAAGCAGTGTTTTGAGCACAGCCAGTGCTTTAGCCGAAGAAGACATTTCCACAGAAAAGCCTCATATGATCTTTGCCTGGTCCTCAGAAAAGCATGATGGTGATGATGATGATGATGAAGTGCTCTTGGATTCCAGCTGTGCTTCAAAGGAACGGGGTGGCAATCACCGGCCACTAACTCCTGGATATTCTTTCCACTCCACACAGATAGTTCCAGATGAACCAGAAGTCTCTCCAGATTTAGAAGAGTTTTCTATTCCCCCAAATTCCTCTGAGAAGCAAATGTCCACCAAATTTTATGTCCAGTCCATTGAGAAGTTCCAGGCTGATGATGTTCTGGTCAAATCAGAGAGGTTTATAGAGGAGGGGACTGATTCTAACCAGCTTATGAGTCTCGGATATACTATCTCATACTTGGTGAAGTCTGAAGAGAGCCCAGGAGTCTTCACAGAATCCAAAGGTTCTGAGAAATCGAGCACTCCTGAGGAGGAGCTGACTCCCACAGGCACCTCCCAGGCTTGGGTAGAGGCTGAAGAAGTTTCCACAGAATCAAATAGTTTTGTGGAGAAGTACAATAGTGCTGAAGATTGGAGCAGCTCAGAGGAAGGGGTGACTTCCAAACCCCCTTCTGAAACTTCAGAGAAGTCTGACAACCAAGAGGAAATTACCTCTACTTCCATGAACCTGCCTGATGAGGAAAGTGTCTCTGAGGAACAGCTTACTTCCACAGACCCTTCTCAACTGACTGAGAGGCCCACTGCTCAGCGCCAGCACTCCTCCAGCTCAGTGAGTGCTTCTGAAGAACAGATCATACTTGAAGAGTCTCCCAGTCTGCCTATTCAGCCCCAGGTGAGCCCCCAAATTGAAAAACAAGTCTCTTCAGAGATCACAGTTGAGTGTGGCATTGCTACAGAGAATCTGCTTCTTGAAACCATTTTGAATCATCCCATTAGGCCGAAAACTGAGGAAAAAGTCACATCAGATATGGAAATAATGCCTCCAGAAGAGATCACTTCTGTGGAACCACTGCTAGGAGAAGACCCTCCTCAGTCCTCCTTGCAAGAGGAAGGCAAGCCAGAAATTTCCACAGGTACAGAGAGCACAGATGTTGAAGAAAGGATCTCTGTAAATATTCTGCTGCCCAAAATTTTACCCCAGTCATTTGTTGGACAGGAAGAGAAGCCAGAAGTCCTTTGGGATGCAAAAAGTTCCCTGGGGGAGGAGACCCCTGCTCAGTCACAGTTCTGGGAGAAACCTCTTGTCAATCCCCATGGCTCTGCAGATTCAGATAACAGAGTAAAAGAGGAGAGCATTTCAGGTGAGTCCTCCAGACTCCCTTCCCAGTCCTTGGTGAGCCCAAAATTTGAGCCAAAATTTCCCTTTGAAGAAAGACCAGTAGTTGAAGGGAAGAGTTCTCTGGTGGCATCGCCTCCTAAAGTTCCTCTCAAGTCATTGATCAGCCCTACAAAACAGGAGGATACGCTGTCAGATTTGGAAGAGGCAACTGCAAAGAAAACCAGTCCAATGGAGCCAGTGCTCCCTAGTTATTCTTCAGTTGAACACAGCTCCCAGAGCACATTTGCTGAAAAGAGCAAGTTAATAGAGAGGTTGCTGCCCAGGTGGCCTATCCCACCTTTTGGAAAGTCAAAATCCCAGCCATGTTCACCCCCACGCCAAGTGACGAAGGTTTCTGCCAAATGGAGCAGCTCTAGGGAGCCATTGCCTCCCTGCAGCCCTTTTCCACCATGGAAGAGCCCAAGATATAAGCAGCAGACATATACAGTTACTGAATTCAAGGCAATCAAAACAGAGGCCCAGGAGAGCATTTGTTCGGAGACACCAACTTCCGAACAGTATTTGAAGACCTGGGAGACCTTATCTTCTGAACATTACTCACTATGTCCAAAGAAAATTGCTGAGGATTGGGGCATCTCTTTAGAACCACTGCCACCCAGAACACGTTCTTCGACCTCAGTAAGGTCACGCATTGCTCGAGCAATCACCTCAAGTAGCAAGAGTGCTTCTTCACAGTGGTCTAAGTCTGAGCAACCAATGCCTCCTAGGTACACTGTCCAACCCTGGGTGAGCACCAAACCTGAGAAGAAAGGCTTTGAAACTCCAGAGAGAGATGTGGAGGAAAGGGACACACCTCTGGAGCAGATGAATCCTGGAGCCCCTGTCAAGGTCACTATGAAACCAACAGTCAAACAAACCATGGAAGCAGGTCCAGAGAGTACTACCAAGGAGAAGGCAATACCAACAAAGAACCTGCCTCCCAAACAACCCCGGTCCATGATAAAACCCAAATTCCAGCAAGCCTCCACTGATTTTGAGAGCTTGTCCAAGGAGGTAGTTTCTGAAAAGATTTCTGAAAAGCCTGTGTTACCCAAATATCCAACCCAGTTCTCAGTGAGGCCAAAAGTGCAGGAAATGCCCAGCCATCCAGGAACGGCTGCAGTAGAAGGAGGCAAGCTGTCCTCCAGAAAGCCTTCCCAGTCATTTGTGAAGTACATGGCCCAACAGATCTTTTCTGAGGGTCCTGCCATTGCAGGAGGAACTCGCGGTCATTCTCTGGCCTCAAATAAGCCTTCCAAATATTTAATGAAATCAAAAGTGGAACACCCGATTAGCTCAAGTAGGGAGAATGTTGTTGAAGGCATTTCTACCAAGCAGTCACGGACCCATCATCCTTTAAAGTCTTTGGGAACATCTGAAGACCTTGATGAAGTCTGTTCACCAGTGGAGAATCCTTTAGCTAAGTGGGGTACTGCAAGAGAGAAGCTGCCTCTCAAACCTCTTCCCCGGGGAAAGTCTGAGTACCAGCAAGATGAGAGGTCTGTTGAAGAAAGGAAGAGTCCTGAGGAGAAGAAGCCTCCCAGATACCCTTTCCAAGCTGAAAATAGAGCTGGCTTCCAGTCTCAGAAGTTCCCCAAAGGCTCCATAAGTTCCATCTCTGGTGCTGAGGAACAGTTGTCTCTCAAAGACCCTTGGCAGGTAGTAGAAGAACCTGAGCCTCAACAACCAGTTTATTCCAAAGCCATGGGTGATGCTGCTGATGGAGTCAAATCTGAGGGAAATCTCAGCAGTTGGTCCCTACCAAGACCCCCAATTTCACCAAGCAAAACCAGAAAACAGTATCAGAGCTCTGAAGACATCCTTAAGAACATCCAGAACCCTGCTTCCAAAGCTGTGAAGTTCTCCCTTCCTCCGACAAGTGAAACACCCTCTTCTGGGAGCATTTACTCTAAGGAAGTTATAAAGCAAGATAATGGAAATAAAACCAGTGGTTTAGAGTTTTCCACCCACAAAACCGATGTTGAAACCCTATTTGGAGTCAGACTGAGAAAAACCTCACAGAAGTACAAGAGCGACAAGCCAGAGGGCTACTCCAGTATTCTGTCATTATCCAAAGGCCAAGTTTCATCGCCACTAGTTCAAGAGCAGCAAAGTAGTGTCTCCCAGGGGCACCTACCAACCTCAGAGAACCTCACCAAAATATCTAACTTAGAAGAGAAGCCACACAGCAGATATACACCTGAGAGCATGACCAAGAAGCAAGACCAATACAAGATTCCAGGTGAGACATTTTCTTTCCAGGTGGCAGCTAGTGGGGTGAGTTGTAAGTCTGTTGTTAGTTGTAGCTTTTCTTTGGCCACACCCAGAGATCAAATCTGGGCAGGCCACATGCAAGGCAAATGCCCTACCCATTGTACATCGCTCTAGCCCTGTAAGTTGAATCTTTGATTATTGGTTTGTGAATTTAGGGCCAGGAAGTGCCTCCTTTTAAATTGATGGGTTTGTAGATGGTTAATTTGATACCCTTCCTTCCCAAGTGGGTCTTCCTCTGAACCACTGCCCACATTCAGTAATTTATTTCCTTATTGACTCTTCCTTAGCCTATGTACACCTACAGCTGATTGGAATATACCTTTATCACAGTACTACATTGTCGAGCTCTCCCAAAACCATGTGGATTTTAAAGCAAATTAATGCATTAGTATACCATCATGTTAAGACTTTCAACTTGAAATTTGCAAATGTTAGTAATGCCAAAGCTTCTTCACTCATCTGAAATGTCTAAGAATGCAGAGCACATGATTTTTTTTCAAAAGTGATCTCTCTACAAACATTTATACTTTCAGACTCGTTATCACATTGGCCTGTGTCTTCCCATAACCACAATAGTGTAAACTCACACTCCCACGAGGAACTATGAAGTAACAAATATTAGCTAGTTACCATTGGAGTCACAAAAGTAATGTCAATGGCCTGAATTTCTGGTTTTTGCCTTTTTTTGAATTAACCTCAACACCTCTGGCAATTCATGGATTTATGGTCTTTGTGGATTTAGAGAGAGAAATAGAGATGGGTAATGGTGGGAAAAGGACCACTAAGGGCATCATTGAAAATTTTAAAGTATGTGTTTTTTATTTATGCAACTTTACCAGGTTGCACAGAACACAAAAGAAGGGGACTAGCTATATGTGATAGGTTTATTCTTATTTGGAAAACAAGGATCCTATTTGAGACATTACTGTTGGTAGCTTGATTCCCTGACTGCCTCCCTTTGATTTTAAAGCTTTACATTCCTTTCTCAGAAAAGACTCATACTCGAAAATCAGATCATGCCTCCTATGAGCCAACTTGGATGACCATGGTAAAGCAGAGACAGAAGATTTTCCAAGAAGATCTGCCAGTGAAAGAACCAAAGTTTAAGAGCATTGCTGAAGCCAAGATTGAACCCAAATATGGGGTAAGGACTAATACATCCCAAAAATCAATCCAAAAGGCTGCTGGAGCTAGTACTTAAATTGGTATTGGGTCCCAAAAGTAGAGAAAGACTGGGAGAGAAGATGCCTACCTCGGAGGCAGGGGTGACACTGGGGACCTTGGTGTGGAAGGTGCACACTTGTGGAGGGATTGGTGTTAAGGCATTGTATGCCTGAAACTCAATCATGAAGGCTTTGTGGTTGTGTCTCGTGGGGATTCAATTAAAAATAAATTGGCATTGGGTGTAGTGTGCTTTTTTTTTTGGTTTTGCTTTTTAGGTCACACCCGGCGATACACAGGGGTTACTCCTGGCTCATGAACTCAGGAATTACTCCTGGTCGTGCTTGGGGGACCATATGGGATGCTGGGAATCAAACCCGGGTTGGTCGCATGCAAGGCAAATGCCCTACCCGCTGTGCTATTGCTCCAGCCCCTGTGGTGTGCTTTTAGCATTGTCAATACACTGTCATTATCAATATTATAAATCATGATGCCTACAAATAAAACAAGAACAAAGTAACAAAACTGGCACTGTGAACTTGCCAGGCATTAAAGTCCCTCCTTTGCATGCATTAACCAAGCAAGTAAGAGGGAAGACTCACTTTGTACTTACACCTATGTTCCCTGCGTTGAAAAAACTTAAAGAGTATGAAGTTATGTAAAAAATTGATGAGTTTGAAAATATTTCATAAGTCAAAACCTGGGCTAAATGTTCTAGAGAAGGATTCTATGAAATTCATTAAGAAATTACACTTTTTAAATGTTGTTGAGGTATCATGGTTACAATATTATTTACATTTTTGTGGGTTGTTTTGGAGGAGTACAACTGACTGTACTCTGGGGTGATTCCTAGTTCTGCACCCAGGATTCAATCCTGGTGCGTTCAGGTCCACCATATGAGGTGCTGGGATTGAATCTGGCTTGGCTGCATGCAAGGCAAGTGTAAAGTGCCTAAAGCCCTCCACCATTGTCCTTGTCACTTATAATTTGGCGGGGGTGGGAGATGGCATTTGGGCCACACCTGGCAGTGAGTGGATTTACTCTTGGCTCCATGCCCAGGTATCACTCCTGGAGGTGTTTGGGGTTCATATGAGGTGTCAGGGAATGAACCCAGGTTGGCCTCAAGCAAGGCAAGCACTCTACCTACTTTACTATCTCTACAACTTCTACGTCACATCTAATCCATCTCTTCCAGTCCTTCCTCCTCTTGGAAACTTCATTTCTGTTTCAAAAGCCAAAGGTTTGTTGTCATTAGATGCCACCCACTCTCTTAATTTATTTATATTCCACGTATGAAATCATTCAGTATTTGTCCTTCTCCTACTGATTTATTTCACTTAACCGGACACTGTATAGTTACATTCAGCTGTAGCAAAAAGCAGAATTTTGTCTGTTTCTATAGTTAAGTAATATTCTGTAGTATATAGATATGACTTCTTCACCCATTCATATGTTGATAGGAACTTGGTTGTTTCCCTATCTTGACTATTATCGAGAATGTTGCAATTAACATAAATGCTATTATACATTTTTAAGTTAATAATTTTGTGCTCTTCGGAAAAATGCCAAAGACTGAAATTGATGGGTCAGGTGGGAGTTGTATTTTTAATTTTTAAAGAAATCTTTCCACTGTTTCGTATAGAGCCTATCAACAGGTCATTTAAAAATAATCAATATTTAGGCTAAGGATGTGAATCAAAATAGAAAATATGTATCACATATGTTGAACCCTGGGTTTAATGTCTGATAACAGTCACACACATTCACACATGTACTTCCACAAAACAATAAGGTTAGCCACAGGAGAGCAAGGCAGCTATCCTTTGAGTTATACCTAGAAATTTAAATGAAAACATAAATATAACCAAACTCTACATACTGTTTTTCATTTAACATTTCATTTCTGGGCACCTTTTCATGTCAATGCATATTAGTTTGCCTTTATGTAACTAAAGCTAGTGTTTGGATTTCTCCATATTGATTTTGATGTGCATGGTACCTCACATTAAGTTAAAAAATTAAGTGATGAACCAGGCTATGACACCTCATGTAAATGAGGGTGATGGAATAACACCGTGCTTCCAAATTCCCATTTGCAATGTCCTTGAGAGTGTTAGAATAAGAATTTCTCTAGACAAAGTGGTAAAAAACTGATCCAAGAAAACATATCAGACTTACACAGCAAGAGATATATGTAGCTTTCCATACTTTTAAGTGCTTACTGAATTTGTTTAGGCATTATTTTCTTAATTCTTTGTTTAATTTTTTTAAAAAATCAGGGGCCATAAAGATAGTACAGTGGGTCAGGTGAAGCCTTTCTTTGTATGAAGCCAACTAAGGTTTGATCCCAAGCATCACATAGGGTCCACTGAGCAATGACAGGAGTGATCCTTGAGCACAGCTGTGTGTAGCCCAAACCTCCCCCCCACAAACTTTATATTTTTATCATTAGTACTTTAATAAGAACAGGAGCATAAAGAAATAGTCCACCATGTCTAAAACTTTTATCAGCGATAAATATACTAATGTATTACTCATTAATTTATATATGTTGTGAAACTAATTTGAAAAGATTTGATTATACGGTTTTGCAGATTATCACTTTCTAGCACAAGGTGTGTTCCAAGTAATTTTCAAAAAATTTAGTTAAGTAGAAATCCTATGGAATTCACTTCAATGAATAAGATTTTCTTGTAACCACACATTCTGTTAACTTGCTAGTGAGTGCTGGTAAATTACTTAGGAAAAGGTTCTCAAGTTTAAATAGTGCTCATATGAACCTGCGCACACTATTTGATCATTAGAAACCTTTTCGTACAGATCTGAAAGGTGTTAAAGTTGAACCAGTTTAGGTTTTGTGAACTTAATATCTGAACAAAGGAACTCTCAAAATTTCTTTTTCTCTGACCCAACAACTGATGTCCCCTTTACTCCTTATATTATTTTGATGATTATTGAACTCATAATGCCCAAGACAGGTCGTGTATATTGTGGTCTTTTAAACATGTCATTTGATGTCAAAACTTGAAAAATTGTTAGAGATTGATATTCTGTGATTTACAATACTGTTAACGATGCTTTCCCATTCACATAATTCCAATACCACACCCCTCCCTGCTGTACCCACTCCCTCCTCCAAAGACCCCAGGACTGTCCCTTCCAGTCACCCATGCAAAACTCAGTTTTATGGATTAGTTCTCCCATTGGACTTCCTTTGGCACTTTGTTGCTCCCCTGCTGTGTATCATTAAGTCCCATATATGAGAACGATCATTCTGTATCTAACATTTTCCTTCTGTTTCATGTCAGGATTTATAAGCTTTCTGTTTTCATTTTTTTTATCTTAAAGGGAGTTGGAGCTTCAAATATCCAATCAACCAAGAAGGTTTACTCTTCTCCCTATGCTGACACAGAGCAGAAGATGGCACTTGTGAATCAACTCAAGTGTACCCTGGCAGGTAAACACATACCCTAACTATAATAGAATATAGCCATGACTGAATGTTGTGAAACTTTTGAAACCTCAGACTTAGGAAAAATATGTCTCTATCCCTCTCTGCCAAATCAGTTTTGTGATTCTCTCATGACACTTCATCTGTTTCATAAATTCATCACCTTGCTTCAGAAAAATCTGACTGATATGAGAACCATGTGTAAATTTAAGAAGGTCTTCTAGTGTTTTACCCTGCTGAGTTTATATAAGCACAAAATTATAATCACTCACTAGAACATTCTTGTCACTGATAAAGTTGAAAGAACTAAGCTACTTTTCAGTTCATTCCACAGTAGTATCTTCTCACTGTCCACATTCCCAGCAAAACTGCTGCAAATAATTTGCTCTAAAAGTCCAGCAGGGGCTGGAGCAATAGCACAGCAGGTAGGGCGTTTGCCTTGCACACAGCCGACCTAGGTTCAATTCCCAGCATCCCATATGGTCCCCTGAGTACCGCCAGGAGTAATTCCTGAGTGCACGAACCAGAGTACCGCCAGGAGTAATTCCTGAGTGCACGAACCAGGAGTAACTCCTGTGCATTGCTGGGTGTGACCCAAAAAGCAAAAAGAAAAAAGAAAAATAAAAAATAAAAGTCCAGCAGTATTAATTGTAATTATATAAAAGGTTGGTTCCACTTCCCCCAAGCCATCTATTCTGAGCAGGGGTATAAGTGACAGGGCAATGTTGAAAGATAAAAAAGCCTCTGTGCTAGCATAGGATAGAATAGAATATGATCTCATAAGTGAGCAGTGAGTGTGAGACAATTTGATTAGGAATTTAGAAACTTATTGTCTGGCTCTAAAATAGCAATAGTGACCTGCTCCTGGCCATAAACAGCCTAATATGCAGTGGCCAAGTGGATCTGTACACTATGTATTATTATAAATTGACGTGCTTTTTATTTATTTGGGGGCAGTTTGGGAGACTACATCTGGCAGAGCTCAAGAGCTACTCTTTGCTCTGTGCACAGACATCTCTCCTGGTGGTGCTCAAGGGACCATATGTGGTGTAGGTGCTCTAACCAGGTTCAGTCACATGTAAGGCAATTGTCTTAAATCCTGTATGATCTTTCTGGCAAATTGGAGATCTTTGTAAAAATTACATTAGTCCCTCACTCCATTGCTAGAGTTTCTATCTCAGATAAGGAAATGACACGAATATTGGTACTTTTAAAAATACCCCCAGGTGATTATCATAAATATGTAAATTGAGATCCACTAGTTGTGTCTAAGCCTCTGAGTCAACCAAGCCTAAGGCATGGTGAAGGAAAGAATAGAATTGGGGGATAAGAAAGTAGCCAGTTTTGTCAGCATACTCAGTACAATGTTACTCTGCATAGAGATTTACTGGGTAGCTCCACTGAATCATCAGTCATTTCACATGACATATACTTGCAAGAAAAAAATATTTTTAAAATTAAAAATTAAACAGGTACGACACAATAAATATTTGTGGTATAAATTTAAAATCATATGATAATCAAGTAACACTCAGTTACAACTGTAGCTGGTTTTTCTTGGGATTTCTCTGTCCAGATTCTGTGTGACTACAAACATACTGCTTGACTCCTTATGACCATGTTCTGTGCACTGATTTTAGAAGTAGAGTATACCTGAAAGGCAGGAAACATGGCATCGCAGAAATGTAGCTCAGTATCTACAGAACTTCTTATAGCTTTTGCATTATTTGCTGCCTTTTCAGCAGGACTTGAAGAGAAAAGGGTTTCTCAAGCAGGTGACGTAAGTAAAGAAGCAAAAAATTCTGCAGCTCTCCCAGTGAAGCTTCATCAGCCTGCTGACTCAGCTGAGCCAGCCTGGTTCTCCATGGCCAAGAAGAAATCCAAAGCATGGAGCAATATAAGTGACACCACGCAATAAATGGCTCCTGAGTATAGCAACAGCATTTCAAATGATAACTTACAACAGCTATATAAGTGCCATGTGCTGCTTTGCTTACTTTAATGATTTTGTTAAGTGAAACAATCTTAAAGATAAGGATTAAACTAAAATTAGTAAAATCATATACTTAAGTCAAAATCACAGTCAACATTTTAAAACAACGCATATGCTACAAGAAATCTCTGCAAAATATTTGCAGCACTGTATAATTGAAAATGTTTTAATTTTGGACAATGAGTCTTAGAATAAATCATTTATAAACCATTTTGTCAGAGCAACAAAGAGGTGGTCATTTCCCACCATAAAAAAATTCTAATGGAAATGCCACAATGATGGTTATATGAACCTGGTTAAGTGCTCCTGTCCTTTGATTCTTTCCCTAGCTTTGCAAAGTCTCCTGGATGAGGTAGTGAAAGTGAAAATTCTGGATGTCAAGAATACTTTTGTATAGTCTATCCTTCAAGCAGCCCAGTGCCCTTAAACATCCTCTCTCTATCGCTCTATCTATCGCTCAGTACCCACAGAGCTTTTTCTTTGCAAATGTTCTATGTCAACCTGTCACTTTTCAGGCAGCAGTGATCTGCCTGGCTGGCATCACCTCCTTGTTATGAGAACAGTTTTTAAATTCTTGCATAGTCCTCTGAATTTCTAGCCCATAAATGTTTGATCTCTTGACGCATCACTATGACCCTCTCCAATTGCACATGAATGTACTGAATATCCTACCAAAAATCTATTCTTAAGGTCTTAATATCCCATTGAAATTCTAAAGATTCACAAGCAGTCCTTTTAATCATGGAGAGAGAAAACTCAACATTAAAGAGAAATTAAGGTCCCCTGGCTCCAGCTATAATGTGGAGACTCCATTATTGGACTGTTTCCAGTCCCTTTTCCACAATAGCCTGTTTCATGAGACCCACAGCTAGACTATATGCTATCCAATCCTCAAGGAACCTTTCTGCTAACTAGAAGCCTTAAGTGATTAAACCAACCCAACCTTCATTTCTATAGGAATATACTTAAGGAGCACTAGACTAGACAAACCTCACCTCCCTATAATAATAAAACACTTACCCTAGCAATGGAAGAGAGACAAAGTCAAACATGGGTAGGAGAGGGGTGGTCATTGTTAAGAACCTGGTAGTTTGACTCCTCCATTGTCATCCACCCATGATCTTTTCCTTTGGTAGCATTCCCTTTGTTAAGAAAGTTCAGACAGGGAAATGAAAATATGTAACTCTTTACCATAACAATTGATTGATTAATTTGCTGGCTTTCAAAGACACAAACCACATTAAAATTTCACTAATCTTCTCCATGCCCTGTCTCCTATTTAATCCCTCAAACCTAATAACCAGTACAAGAGAGTTCCTGCTGGATACCTAGACTGTACATGTCTCAATTTCTTAAGATTCATAAGTACCTGCTCAGCATACATTTCACCAATTTTTCTTTTTTTTTTCTTCCACGGGAGTCAGGAAGAGAGCTGGAAATGATTCATCTTTTCCTCTGTCAACTCAGAGCAATGTTTTGCTAAGCAGAAATGAAAGGCTGGTCCTTTGTTTCTTTCTGAGTGACATACTGAAAAATATTGATTGATTGGCTTTGTTGCTCATGGTATGATAATACAACTAAAAGCTATTTTAAAAAATTGTTCATGTAACGTTATATTTACTTTTGATAGTGCTGTGTTTGATTAATTTGAGTTCCTTAGTATTACCACAGTGAGTTGTTTATTTTGGTAGCTTTCTACCCTTTATCCAGGTAATCTTAGTCAATGATAAGTTTCTATAACTTCTCCTTCTTTAATCAGGGTGGACTCTATTATCACTCTGAGATCTATCCATTTAACAGTTTCTTTTCCACAAGTAACAACAAAAAAATTTAAGTGATAAGTTTTACAATGTACTTTCTGCCAAGTTTTCGATTATCTGTAGCATTATCTAATCAAAATAAACAAAATAAAGCATGTTCTGGTGTCTATGTCTCAGTCTGTAAGTCACATGAGGAGGAAAGTCAAACATGGTATTTGTAACTCAGTCCTGAGGGTTGCAAGAGAAATAAAATGTTCTACAGAGTTTGTGTGAGGGGTCAGAGAGATAGTACAGCAGGCAAGGTGCTTGCCTTATACATGGCTGACTGTGTTCAATCTCTATAACTCTATATGGTCCCCCCAAGCCTACCAGAAATGATCCCTGAGTGCAGAGCCAGAAGTAATATCTGAGCATGGCTGGGTGTGTCCCCCAAACCAAAAAAAACTCAATAAAACAAACAAAGAGAAACTTGTGGAGGTAAAAATGCCACTGCTTAGTTGTGTCTCGCCAAAACAGTGACTTATCGAGGAATTATGACCCCTGGCTCCAGCTATAAGGTGGCTATTTTATTGTGGAGAAGAGCATTGAAGAGAAGTCTTTGTGGAAATCCACCTGGAGGGAGCAAAGAAAGTTCTCATTAGGAGGGTAGAGTAGCTGTGGGTGAGTTGATGGGGCAGGATGATTGGTAGTTATACTCTTTCCAGGTGTGGGGACTGCATCTATTTCTAAAGTAATATGGGCTTTTAGAACACTGTCAGGAGCAATATGCTTAGGCAACAAAGGGAAGTGAAGACTTGAAAAGGCTGGTAGACCAGGCATGTAATTTGATACTACTCAGACATTTGTAGCATTCAGAAAAAAAGTGTTTAGCTGGTGGGCATTCACATACCATTGCCTAATAGTTGAAGTTCACCTTGCACAACCTTTTCAAGATGATATGTCCCTCCATGAACAATGTACATTCATGATGGCAAGAAAGGTGAGGGTGTATGAGCTTTCTAATTCTAGACTCCTCCACATTCTGGTCCACTGATGTTGAAAGAATTATCTCCTCATCCCTCTGCCCCAAGTTCTTGAGCAGCCACTTCACTTGTTCTGAGCATGCAACCTTCACTTAGACCTAGCAGCACATCTCCTAACAGTGCAGTCAGCCCTTCCAAGGACAGCTCCTGAAGGTGCACATGGGCTTAGACAGCAGGTTTGGGGCTACTTTACATACCTCAGGTCGCTGGTGTTTAGGTAACAGGTGCAGGCACATGCCCCTTATCCTTTTAAAAAAAATTTTATTAGTGAATTACCGTGAGGTACAGTTACAGACTTACAAACTTTCGTGCTTGTGTTTCAGTCATACAATGGGTGAGTACCTACCCCTCCACCAGTGCCCATTTTCCACCACCAATGGTCCCAGCATCCCTCCCACCACCCACACCCTGTCCCCTCCACCCCACTCCGCCTCTGTGTCAGACATGTCCCTTATTCTTGTAGGAGCTTGAATTTTGCTTCTGTGGGGAGGGATGTAAAATAAGTTAAAATAAGAACAAAGGACCCTTTAGCATCTAAAAGCAAAAAATGGTACAGTTGCTTTAAATAACAATTAGTGTAGTATAGGTATTAATGAATCTGAACCAGATTGAAGACCTACGCTTCATGTGAGATTTGTTGTGCTGCCATTTTAGTTTCAATAATGGTGGCAAGAAATCTTTTTTTTGTCCCACCATATGATCCAGCTACAAAGAATTGTGTGTGTCAGTAGATTTTGAAATAACAACAATGGTGACCAAAAGAATTTTGTGCAAGCATTGAGTTTACTTCAATAGTCATCTAGTTAAGTCGCCACTTAGAGAAAAAACTCAATTCCTAGGGCTTTGGGAGAGAAAAATACAGAAGACCTTTAAGGTCCCAATAGTTCAGTATGGGAAGCCCATACATACATATATGAGTGAGGATATATAAGATATGGGACAACAGACTGGGAGATGTTATCATTGCTATCTAATGGGCATCTCCAAATCTGCTAACTGAATGAAGAAATTACATTGTCAATTACATTGTCAATTACATCGTCAATTACATTGTCATATCTATATCTTAAATCCTTCTTCACCCAATACTACCCACGCAAGTAATCAGCACCCTAAATATGTTTACCTTTGCAACATCTTTCCTTATGTCATTTTATTCATTTTTCACATGTATGCATTTTAGTGTACTTGTATTTGCAACCAACATGTTTTTCAGACTTCAAATGCTTTGTGTCAAGTGGTTTTCATCCTCCTGGAATAAACTTAGCCCTTCCACATAAGCCATCTGTGCTAATATCTTCATAAGCCATACCCTTATCCTCTCTTTCAGCTTACCTGTAACAGACTAAAGCCATTGAATGAAAACTGGTCCTATCATATCTAGGTCTGAGTTTCTCCACCTGTACTTTAAAAATAATGCTTATCCCTATGTTCAGCACTGCACTTGGTACAATATCTAAGATACAGAAACAACCCAAATGCCAAACTATGGATGCATGTATCAAGAAGTTGTGGTATATATACACAATGGAATACTATACAGCTCTGAGAAAGAAGAAAACAATTAAATTTGCAGCAACGTAGATAGAAATAGAGGGTATCATAATGAGTGAAGTCAGTCAGAAGGAAATATATATATATATAGTTATATAGTTATCTCTAATTTGTGGCACTTAAATCATGGTAACAACAAAGGTCCAAAGGCAAAATAATAGGGAGACCTGATCCACACAATTGAGTTGGAGAGGGGGCTGAGAGGAAGGAGAGTTGGGGTACTTGAGAGATGGAGGGAGGTGGGTACATTGGTGATTATTAATAGTATTGTAAACCACAGAATCTCAATCTATAAAATGTTTTTAATTTTAAAATAAACCAGTGTTTTTTTGGGGGGCCGCACCAGTGTGTTTAGGGATTACTCTCAGCTCTACACACAGAAATCCCTCCTGACAGTTCTCAGGGGACCATTTGGTATGCTGGAGATTGAATCTAGGCTGGCTGCATGCAAGGCAATCACCTTAATTGCTGTACTATTACTCCAGTCCCTAGACCAGTGATTATAAGGCCTTATGTATATCAAACTTCCCTGGAGGGTTTGTCAAAAGATTTCTGGGATTACCCTATTTTATTATTCAGTTAGGTCTTG